ATAGAAACACTGACAATCATCACACAGACAGACAGGCAACACAATCAGTCATATGATTGATATTATTAACAATAATTTATCAGTAAGGTACATGTGTGGTGGAAACTAGCGGTAAACTAGTGTGAGCTGTGTCAGTTGTGTAAAAATTTTAACACCATAAATAAATAGGTAAAAAAACATCAGTACGTTATTTTTCATATTTTTTATGGTATTAAAATTTATCAAGGTACATGTGTGTTCAGTCTATTTTCAGATGACTTCTTATCAATATTTACAGCCAGTCAGTAGGTCAGACCCTTTAGTTACACAGTCATCTCAGTCCATTCTCTTTTATTCAGTCTGGTGAAAGCAGTTGTAAAGTCATTGTAGATTCCTTCACAAAATGGGTTGCCATGATAACCAGTGAGGAGTGTCCTTTCCAAATATGGAATGGCATGACAGTTTCATTTGATTGCAATGGTAAGCWTAGATCTGTTTWCCATGGTGTTGTCAAGAAGCGGCTTGGTCAATAATCATATTATTATATCGCTATTTTATGTCTGCATAAATACATGGGCCTATTTAGATCCATATATGTATGCAGGGCTAACTATATGTGATATGAACGTTAAGTAATCAGATATAGTCAGATGTTTGATATATTATTTTTTTATTATTTCAGGAATAATGCTAGAGTTTATTCTTACTGTCTTGAGCCAAGTTGAACATAAAAGTGATGACAATAACCCTCCTTACTATTTACTAACACCAAGTGTATTACAAGATCTAACTGTAGTGGTTGGTGAACAGAAATCATTGCCTAAGCTAACTGCATTGCTTTGGCAGGCACAAATTGACAATGCTGTACAAATAAGCTGTGGCATTAATGACCTTGGGTAAAGATTAATTGATTTATTTTACAATACAACCAAACACTTCAAAAGATGATAAATAGGCAGCCAGTCATGCAAACCAAACAATGATATAATCACTCAAGCAACTAATCAAAGCCATTAGTCACTCAACAAAAGATTTTTTAAAATAGATTTGGTCCATCAGTATTGCTGTATCTTCAACAGTTTTATTCACTTATATAATTTAATACTATTTGCTATTTTGTTTATCATGTGAAAATATGTTGATTTCTACAGAGGATTTTCACAACCATATGACAAGTGTTTAAAGCATTTGRTGGTTTGTYTAGAGAAATGTCTRCTATCTTCACATGTCAGTGGTGGACTGACTAAAGGACTTTCTAATGGTGCAGTTCTTATATGTGGAAGTGGACGCCATGCTGGGGAAGGATGTGGCAAGACTTCTCTTGGTCTTGCTATTTGCAATAAACTGAACCAATTGCCAATAGGTGCCCATGTGGTATATATTGACTGTATTCCTTTAAGAGGTAAAGTAGTTGATTTTTTCGAGAAATTTTTTGGGAAAAAATGTCACCTCCCTTGATCTGTCAAACTCATGTGATAATGTTGAGATTAGGCCATACGCTACTGCTGGGATGAATTTACTTTTCTCGAGGAAAAGTAAATTCATCCCAGCAGTAGCGTATGGCCTAATCTCAACTTTATCTTGCACAACACGCTGCTACTGAAGGACAACTTCACTACTTTGAAATCATATAATAATATTAAATTCAAAATTATTTATCTTTTGTTATGTTTTTCTTTCAGGAAAACGAGTTGAAACTGTGCAAAGACATTGGCAACAGGCATTTCTAGAGGCAACTTGGTATCAACCATCTGTGATTTTATTGGATAATCTTGATCATGTGATATCTGCTCCCAGTCTTGCTCAGGAGATGGGTGGGGAGGGCCTTTACAGACTGCGGCTTGTACAAGGTACTTCATTTCCTGATAAAGCCTTTGTAAGTTTTAAATTATGCTTACTGTCACATTGTTTTCAGTTTTCAAGGATCTTATAACTTCAGAGATTGTCAATCAGAGCAAGATTGCTGTCATGGCAACAAGCAGGTCTCGTGACTGCCTCCATGGGGCTTTGCAGTCTAGTCATGGTGTGCACATGTTTCATTGTTGTGTAGAGCTTGGTTCCTTGAATGAACATCAAAGATGTGAAGTACTTATGAAGTTGATAGAGAAAAGTATTCCTGATACCAATTATAATGAACTAGAGATATTAATGAAGTAAGTMATCATCACCATCATCATYACCATCATCATCATATTATGATTATCACCATCTGTATTATCAATATCACATTATCATGTACCCACAATGATTTAAATACTTTTTCATACATTTTATGATTAAAAGATCAGTTGCAAGAAAATGCGAAGGATTTTCACCAAAAGATTTGAATGCAATTGTTAAAAGAGCTTTACATTTTGCTCTCATAAGAAATGCTCATGAACATCAGCAAGGTAATACCAATACAAGCAAAGTCAGTCATTATTTCAATATTGTAGATTAAGGGTGTAATTTTGTATGTAAAACTTTAGTGAGCCTGGTGTTAGATGATCTGAACCAAGCTTTAGCTGGATATAGACCTGCATCATTGCGAGGTGTACAACTACACAAGCCAGGTCACCATACTTGGTTAGATGTTGGAGGACTGCATGAAGTTAAAAAAGCACTTGAAGAAACCTTACTTTGGCCATCTAAAGTAAGTAACATAGGGAGCCACTCTTGAAAGGTAACTTGACCTGATACCYATTATGTTTAGTACACAGGTTTATTCAGTAAGTGTCCACTTCGTATTCGTTCGGGTTTATTGATGTATGGACCACCTGGTACTGGAAAGACATTATTGGCTGGTGTAATAGCCAATGAGAGTGGATTAAACTTCATTAGCATCAAGGGACCTGAATTATTGAGTAAATACATTGGAGCCAGTGAACAAGCAGTGAGAGATGTATTTTCAAGGTGATAACAGTAAAGGATAAGTACTATTGATAAGGCTGTATAAGCAATTGGACAGTACGGATCATGAAAAAGATAAAAATATAATAATTATTGACTGAGAGAATGAAATATTTTAATATCACTACAATGATTATAGTTACTTTGTCCAATCACAAAAAAAGGATGTAAGTTAGTGTTATCTCAGAGGTGAAGAAAGCCAGTGCAAGCTCTGTTTTAAAATCAAAGCATGCAGCTGATTGTATAACCTTGCCACAAGGCATACTTTATTTGGACACTTTATTTGTTTTTATTTCAGAGCCCAGACTGCAAGACCTTGTATATTATTCTTTGATGAATTTGATGCTTTGGCTCCCCGACGTGGGCATGACAGCACAGGTGTTACAGACAGAGTTGTCAATCAGTTACTGACTCAACTAGATGGTGTTGAAGGACTTGAGGGGGTGTTCCTTTTAGCTGCAACAAGTCGTCCAGGACTGATTGACCCAGCATTGTTAAGACCAGGAAGACTGGACAAATGTGTTTACTGCCCTATTCCAAACGAGGTTTGTATAACCCTATACCTTATAACATGTGTGTATACTTCAAAAATGAATTATTTAGTTTTATTTAGTTATGTCACAAAGAAATACTGTCATAATTATTACTAACATCTTTTTCAGTCTGAAAGACTTGAGATACTCAAGGCACTGACACGTAGCATTTCCCTTGAGGAAGATGTGCACTTGAAAATAATAGCAGAAAGATGTCAAGACTTTACAGGGGCTGATATAAAGGCTTTACTCTATAATGCTCAGCTTGAGTGCATCCATAGGAAAACAAGCAAACTAAAGCTGTATGGAAGTATCTATGATGGTGTACATGTAGAAGAAGATACAAAGCAAGTCAATGAAGTGAAAACAGCTGTTATCACTATTTGTCAAGCAGACCTTGAAAAAGCAGTGTCAATGATGAAACCATCAGTTTCTCCCAATGAAAGACTAATGTACGAAAGCATGTAAGTTAATTTTATTTTGCTTTTCTTCTGTCTTCTCATCCCTTATCATCCTTAAAAGTACAAACATTACCATGTCATATGAATTTCACTTAAATGACTGTAGTCCCATTAACCTGTATTGTTCATCTGTCATCAAGGCTTACAATTTGACAATCATTTCTTCATAGGTTTGATTCTTTCATGAGATCAAGAGGAAATAGTTTTACAAGGAATACACCTATCAAAGGCAAAGCAACATTAGCCTAAGCACACTTGAACTAAGAACACGAGACAAGACAAGTCATTGATCACTTACACCTGATTTTGGGGAGCCAGACAAATATGACATCATTCTTCTGCTTAAGCCTGGTTTGAAAATTCTAGTTAAATTAAAATAAATTAAATTCTAAAAATTCTAGTTCAAGAAGTGAAACTTTTCATTTAGACTGTGTACTGATTTTATCAACAATAATTTAACAATCATAATTCATAAATGTCTTTGCAAAATAAAGATGTACAAATGCTATTTCTTCTTCTTCTTCTTCTCCTTCTTCTCCTGTGTTCTGGTCCCTTTTCCAACAGTCTTTACCACAGGAGGTTGACAAACAACTGTTATCATTCCAAAATCTGGGCTTTGTTGGTTTGTGTCCTTATTAATTTTTATTTTTTTCTGGTTTTCAATATCTACACYATCAGCATCTGATATAATCTCTGCAGTAGCATCATTTTGTGAACTTGTTTCCTTATTAGTACTTTCACATTGAYCATCATTTAGTTTKCTTTGCTTTGTTGTGTTATCATTGTTCTCCCCAATGCCTTCTTTTTCTGAAGATAACCTCCTTTTACGATTTGTMCGACCATTGTCTTTGTTCRCTTGTATTAATTCATSTTGTGTATTTGAARTTGAAGCTTTTAATTCTGAGTTTGCATTCTCAACACTTRATTCATTTTCTTTGTATGGTGTATCATCAACTGGTGCCTTGTCATCAAAAGGATTCAGCCATGGCACAACAATGTCAGGGACCTTTGTAGTTATGTATTCTATCAGACTGTCAAAATAAGTGCTTGGCCTTTGTTTCTAAAAAAAATAACATTCCCATATTACAATGGGGACCCCATACTGTTGTGCCTCTATATAGTATGGAAATTAGTTGCAAATTCAACCATACAGCACAATTTAGTACAAGTAGTAGTATTGTATAATTACCTTAAATCCTATAGCTCCAGCTCTCTTTTGACCTAACAATGATGCCAGTAATTGACCTATTTCATGCAAACCAAGTGTAGGTGTTCTGCGGGTTGCCCCTATCAACATCAAATGATCTGTCATTGTAACTGGCTTCACAGATCGATCAACCTAAATGTAATATGGTTAGAAATGTCAATCTGCTCTAGATAAAAGTTTTTAACTCATCAACATTGTATGGCTAAGAAAAATAAATCATGTGTGAATGCTATACTTTAAGCTGTGATCATTTCATTGAAATAATTATAAAAATAATTTTTTATATATAACAATGAATCACTTACAAGAACAAGAGATAATTCATCCCTCTCAAGTCCTTTGGTAACCTCATTTATTCCTACAGCTAAACATTGTCTCAATGATTGTTTCTCATCCAGCTGTTCCTTTAGTATCTTGTCATCTTCTGATAAAGGTTCATTGGACGACTCAAACATCTTTCGTTTTTTCTTTGATATCTTTTTTTGCTTTTGGTTCAGAGTTGCAGGGAAATGTCTGTGTAAGGAATCTCTCGTCAATATCATTTTTTATGATGTAAAGTTAAGCTGGGAAACTTGAATGGGTAACCCATCTCAAAATCCAGAATCCAACAAAATTGTGACTCTGGAAACCGGAATCTTGACACTTGGAGTCTGGGATCCATTATGCATTAAGTGAAATTGTCAAGTGAGCACGTTTAATAATATTCAGTATTTACCTTCCAATTGCATTCATGATAGCATGGTACGTTTTCTTGTCCAATGTAGGCCTGAAAAGGTCATGATAAGGAAAAACGGTGCTCAAAATGCGAGAAAACAAGCTAAGAAAAGAACACAAGAAATTAAAGTCTTTACACTTTACCAGTTTACAGTATATGGATTTGATAGGGTAGTCCTCAAACCACTTGATTTTCGAACACCACCTTTCTCCACTGTGCTGGCCGCCATCTTTCTTTATTAGCACAGGAAGCCCACGAATTAAGGTTTGATTATTTAATGTTGCTAAATAAGATTTTTCATAGAAATGAAAATTAAACAACTTTTATTGTTCAGGAAAAATTCGAAAAAAATTGAAATTATTTCTGCGTGTCGTCGAATCGTGTTCCCGCAGACAGAGATAATAGGAAGAACTAACTCGATTGGTCGAGAGGAGTACAATTACATATAATAATTGTACTCCTTATAAAATTTTGTTTGAATGAATGTACTATAAACAAAAAAATCACATAACCTCTCGTACAATTTGGAATTAGAGTACAAACATTAAATGTGTGCAACACTTTCCACTATTTACTACAAAATAGTCATTAATTAAACAATAGAAAACAATAGAATTAGCATAATTTAGCAGTATTTAGTGGTATTTAGTGTTTGTACTCTAGTAGTCACGAGTAATGTTTTGAAAGTTCTCTTCGTAATTGCACTCAACATTATGGAAATAGACTATGCCATTATATTTCCGTCTCATTGACAGTCGTTTCCGAGGAATCTAATAGTCTAGGATACATACAAACAAACTGCATTTTTTGTCTATATTTCTTTTATTAATAAATATTTTCCATCAATATAGATTCAATATAATATAACTTCCTTTATAAATCATAACCATGGTAGAATACAACGTTGTTCAAGTGTTTCATGACTCGTCATCTTCCTCGTACTTTATCTCTCTGCCAACTTTAGGTTTTTCTATCGGGACGTCGTCATCTAACTGACCCATCGTCTCCTCCTTCATCACGTCTTTGGATGCGTCAAGACTTTCGTCTCTGCTGGTGCTGTCCGGAATCCCACTTTTCTTTTCAATCAGCGGTTCTTCATCGGCATCAAGCAAATCGTCCAGAGGCACTTTGCTTTGTTCAAGAATTACTCTTTTAACATCTGAAGGAGGATTTTTGTCGTGTTCATCTTGTCCGTCATGTGTAGATTTTGGTTCATCGTTAGGACGATCAAGTAGCTCATCGGGATGATTGGGGTCGATCACAATGGCCTCGTCAAACTGACCGTCGACGCCCAGGGTCGTTGTTGTCAAAGAAGATCCAGTGTTTAGCTTTTCTAAGTTAGCAATACCTGGGGGTACTACAGTTGAAAATTCGAATTCATCACTATCATCCTGCCTGCTAAGCTCTTCCCCATCTTTATCGATATCGTCATTTCCCTTCTCACCCACTTGCATTTCGAGTCCAGGTAATGGTCGGGCTCTCTTCTCATTTCCCGTTTTCAAGGATCTTTTCTTTCTTTGTACTAAGAAACTCAAGGATTCATCGTAGCTAACATCTCGTCCGATTGTCAGTTTTTTGCTTGGGCTGTTTGGATCTGCGGCAATCTTTGGTTTGCATAGAATGCTTGCCAATCTATCTTGCTCAGACATGAAAAGCAATTTTATATATTCTTTGTGGGTTGGTTTCTTCAGAATGTTTTCAGCTAGACGTATTAGCCACCCTAAACACCAAAAGAATATAAGAAGTATTTTTAAGTAAAAATTTGAATGGTTATATTAATTTGCAAAGTATAGCCAGGTAATTTTTTGGTTTTCGAGAAAGTCATATTCCCCACGTGTAYGACTTTTAAAGTACATAAATAGTAGTGTGCCTGCAAGTTGCTGCAACTGGCCTGGAAAAGGAATTAAAAAAATGCCAACAAACATTGCATTTTACTGCTTCAAAGCCTTCAAACTATTTTCTTTTTCTCAACCATTCGACAATCTCATTGAAATCTACCTTTTTTAGTAGTAAGCTTCTTGGCCGAGGGCTTTTTTGCAGCGTTCTCATCTGGTTCGGCGGGGCAAACCATTTTCTTTAAAGTCTCGCATAATTCTAGAGCTTTTTTAATGCCGTCCTCCGGGTTTTTGGATTCCAAAGCTTTCTTCAGTTGCCCTATGAATTTCTGAAATTTCTGTTCTTCTGCTGTTAAACGAGAAAGAGTAGAAAATATTAAATGACCCTTAAATGTGGATAGTAACTGCATTACAGCTAGAAGCCGAATGTTTCTTTGACCATTATGATATCAACCTACCTTTCTCTTCTCCACGTGCTTTGCCTTTTGGTCTTCCATAAACGCTTCCTAGCAAGAGCAGAATTACAACTACAATRAGTTTCGCCATTTTCACCAACAATAAGCTCATCTGAGACCTAAACTCCAAGTAAATGACCGTCCACGAGGGAAATGTCCAGTTTTATAGTGAAATGAACAAAAAGTATTCGCAATATGATTGGTTAAAACGATCGACCCATCGAATTTTTGCACGCTCCAATTTCAAAATGTGCAAAATATAATTACTGATTGCTAATTAATTATCTTTCATTGTTCAGGTTAAATTGAAGGTGTTTCTGACAAAGCCATGCAGAAGAATACTTCAAAGTATTCTTAACATTCTTTTCGTGCAAGCTTCACATCCTTTCGCCTAAGGTGAGTTTGAAAACTAGWGCATCCGATMCCATTAGTGTAGATCAGGGACCGCTGCTGTCCAATCTATCAGTCAAACACCATTGAACAACTGAAATTGCGTTTTTACTCGTTACAATTAGCACGATGACTTATGTAACGCTATCGTAAATTCGAGAAAATATTAAAGGATGAATCGGTGCTCTATCGTGCTCTATATGTACATTATTAATAATAAATATTCAAATTTTCCACGCATCTGCACGTAATTCATTTTCTTGGMTMCCTATGAGTGAATGTGCTAAAGTGCGCAAAAMGCAACAAGAGAGCAGGAATTGAAAGATAAAAYGGAAGCTCTAACGAAAAGGGCAAGCACTTCATAGATTGTCAGGTGGTGGTTGTATCAATCAGTTAAATATATTATAAACTTTTTTTATTTTCCTGTTTATTCAATAAATGTTTATTTTATACATATTCTTACTGTATTCAACGAGTTCTGGATTGTAAAAATGTAATTGTAAAAATGTGACCCAAAAAATTCGTAAAAACTAAAACTTGCACTATCAAATGATATCAAAAATTAGTCAAGTCCTGGCCTCCCTTTTGATTCACTCCATTAATTGGGTAAAAGAGAGTCCATTAAAACTTGAAAGCGCATGTCAACCTAGTTACCTTGCCATGTAAGGATCATGAGGTTACAATTCTTGTGCAATTTAACAAGATGTTAGAATGACAGATATGAAGTCATTTGCATCCATGATTACTATCAATAAAATGACGCAATTCTTTACACTTGCAGTGTGATAAGATTATTACCATTTAGCGCTCACTGCAGGGCTGGTTGTTCAAAGCCCAATTTGTGCTAATCCTGGGTTAACTCTTAGAAAACCTATGGAGTTAACCCTGGATTAACGCTAATCAATTTTGAACAACCCAGCACTAGGTTGTGAATATTGTTAACACTCCACTGAAAACTGGAGTGATTGGAATTATTATGATGAGTACAAATGAAACTTAATCCGATTAGCGTGTTCTGTACATGCRCATGCAAAATATACTGGACTCTCTTTCCTTACAAGTCYGAGAGTGGGTTAAAGGAGGCTAGGATTGGAGTAATAAAAAGTCTGCCCATGAACATGCAATCAAATGGACACAAACACAAAACAAAGTACAGATACAATGAAAAAACTATCAAGATCAGTTTTGTTGGAACTTTATCTAAGGATTTATCTAAGTATTTATATAAGGATATAAGAACATGAATACGCAGCAAAAAAAATAGTAACTTCAAGTCTATCTTTGAACCCTAGGGGCTATTGCATATTAGGTGAAAATGTAGGATTCTTTCCCCTCTTTCTGTCCACCTGCCTCAATCTCCCAGACCCCARCTCAAAAGCACCTGAGTTTCTAAGGATAGAGTGTTGAAAATGCCTTTCATTCCAAAATTCTGAAGAAGACTAATTTTGATTTGTCTTATATATTTTACATATTTTGTAATGATTGTCAATATAATACATATATAATATAAATAATTTCATAATAAAGACTTCTCAAACATAATCCCAGTGAATCCATTGGGCGGCTCATAAACAAAATCTTTAAAGTTTACATCCACTATTGTACCATCATCAACTGAAAAAGGAAAAAGAAATCATCGAAAAAATGATGTCTCTTAATATTGCTGAAATGACAATTGATGCTAATCCATAATTACCATATATAACAGGAWAAACAGTTTCTTTGAAGCCAGTAAGTGGACAATGTAAGTGTTTTCCATTAAGATAAAAGTTGACTTCTACATGATCAAATGAACATGCCTACAATTAAGATAGAACGCATCATCAATTTGATGCATGCCGTACAAGACCATGGGTAAGTGTGGGTCTGAAATATCAGGTCTTACAGCTGTGCTCAAGAGTGATAACTGACCCACTTCAAATGAAACTAGAAAGTGATGTAATTGGTGACCATAGAAGGGAGGAGGACTATTGATTGGTGCAGAGTATTTTAGGTTTATGCTGCTCAGGAGGAAAACATGGCATTCAAAACACAGAAACTTCTACAAAAGAGACAAAACACAGAAACAAAATCATGTCAGTTTGTGCATGTACATGTATATAGGAAAGGCAATATACTTACAATTATATCTCCTTCTTCAGGTGTTGATGTAAGTCTATGTTTTATTATATTATTATGAGCTACACTTCCTTCTGATCTCAAAACCCAGCTATCAGCTGTACAACCAAGGGGAAGCTTATTCAAATCAACTCTCTTTGTTGCTATTCCAATCCCCCACACTCCTGTGAAAAATAGATCAGTGCATGAAAATTTTGATTAATTTTAATCTTACTAGTAAAAGAGCTCATAATTTTTACTGTTACTTTGGATTAATTTTATTTTTGTCTGAGAAGTACTACATAAATAGTGTAATATATTTCTAGTATTTCTATTGGCTACATGCTAGTAAATTATTTTAAAATTAATTAATGCACCGGCAAAATACATTACTTCATCATATAGGTTATGATAGAATATGATTTATCGAAATCATAAAACAAACCAAAAGAAWAAATCTGTCTGTGCTGAAATGTTTTCCTGTGGAAGATAAGTTAATTCTATTCTTAGTATAGAAAAAAAATAGCGTCGTGTATCTCGTTTCAGCTGTAGACACCGGCAAACGACTCTCCGGAAAAACTACTTCAAACATCGCATGACGAAATAGAAAAGTACTTTTCAGATTCTAAAATAATATATTCCCCTATTGAGTTAAGTTACATCAGTATAAAGTACGAATTATCACGCGAACCACGTAATCAGCTGATGCATACCGCGAAAGTTCATTATTCAACATACCTCCAGATTGAATTTTCGCTTCGAAATAGCACTTATTCTGCAGCAAAGGAGCGTTTGCCAAAGCTGCACCAGATCCACATATTCGTCGTCCTGATTTAACGATTACAACTTCATGTCCTACAATGATATTTCAACAATGTCACAAACTGCAGTATTAAACTTTTTACCCCATTATTGTAAACATGACAAAATCCGTTATAACTTTGTTAGATTGATATTTATTGAGTGATGTTTCTTACCCATATGTGAAGTATCTAGCTGGACTTGTGCTGTATTGACATCTTGGTTGTGTCTAGGCGCTTGATAGCGTCGTAAACAGCATAAAACACCAAGTCCACAAACATCCATATTCATCTTGTTCCTTATTCCATGACCGTTAGCTTACGGAAAACTGAGCACTAACAGCCTCGTTTTCGATTTATTTTCGTATCCAGTTCCTTCTCTTCGGATTTTCAAGATGGCGGAGAAAGTGACAAAAATTGCACGTGAGAAAAAATTATTTTGTCTTTCAGCTGTACCTTAATATTGAGATTTTTTGATATATTTGACATCTGGATTAGATCATTAAAAAAAAAATTGTTTTGTTTTTGAAATTGTTGATAGTTCGTGGTGGCGAAGGGGTTTCTTTGATCAATGGATGTCCACCGTGCCACGATGTGGAACACTTTCCAAAGTAAGATTATTAAACTAGTAGTAGTACTTTATTACAGCTTTGGATAAATAAATGTATATGTTTTAATATTTAACACTGAAAATAGTATTTGGTTAGTTTTATGAAAACGATGTTTGGTCGTTTTGTCCATAATGTACAGTCATACTAATCAGTTTTCTTTATCCAGGGATCCTTCAACAAACTGTAAAGTAATGGCTTTCAGTAATGATGGATCTTTAATTGCATGGTGTAACTCAACATGGTAAAAATCATTTCCCACTTATTCATTTACTCACCCATTCTTTGCCATTCATCTACATCTTTAATGTTGATAAAATCCATGATAYCACATCAACTATAGAATTTACTACAACTATTCGATATTTTATTACTCTCTTTCTTTAATTTGCACATACAAGCCAGGATTTCAAGTCTTCACATGAATGCATCCATTTATTCATGCTAATCAATCATTCTAAGAATTCAAGCATTCATTCATTTATTTTGMAGCCCAAATTTAACCTTGCTATTTATTTCCCATAAAGTATCACAGTTGTRGAGGCAAATACTGGCAAAGTTGTCCAAGAAATTCCCAAGGGCAAGACACGTGAACTGAGCTTCTCTCCACTTGGTACTTATATAGCAACATGGGAGCTTTATTCAGGTAGGAATATCACTATAAGGGTCTCTCCCTTGTCCTTTCAACTCAGAATTGCATTTGCTATGTCATTCCAGCTTCAAAGAGCAACCCGCAAGGAAGCAAAAATTTAGAAATATGGGMAGTCCAAAGTGGAACTTTGATTGCTTCCTTTGCACAGAAGAAAGAAGAAACCTGGTAACATTGCAAATTATAAAAAAAACAAAACATTCAATCCTACAAAATAATTCCAAAAATGAGTTCTTCAATGAGTTTACTACCAGCTAATTCAGATACATGTATTAAAATCATCTTTTCTAGGGAACCAAGATGGACAGATAAYGAGGAAGTATGTGCCAGGTCTGTYACAAATGAAGTGCATTGCTTTCATRACAGAGAATTTGGTAAGATTAACACCATTTTGTTAAGGTTAATTGTCTGTGGTAATAAAATGGATAAAAACATACTCTAGGGTTAAATCAACATCATTACGTGTTTGTTTTATTTATGTTCTTCAGGAAGTATTGCTACTAAATTAAGGCTGCAAGGTGTATCTGCATTTGAGATTTCTAAAGGGCSTGCACCTTTCACAATTGCTGCTTATGTAGCTGGAAGTAAAGGTGCACCTTCATATGTCAGGCTCTACAGACATCCAAACTTTGATGCACCTGGTGCTGTTCTYGCTAACAAGAGCTTCTTCAAGGCAGACAGTGTCAGAATAAAATGGAATAACAGAGGTTTGATTTGTGGAACTGTAATACCATAATAATGTGAAATTCTTTTGGTTTCAAAGAAAAATGAATGTCAATGTTTAAGTATAGAACATTGAACTTCAATGAAATAAGAATTTGTTTTTAAGTGTTGATAGCCTGTTTACACAGTTTGTTTTGTTAACTTTTAGGGACAGCTGCCCTTGTTTTAACAACAACTGATGCAGATAAAACTGGTGCATCATATTATGGTGAACAGACACTGCATTATATAAGCACTAATGGAGACAGTAGTATGGTACAGCTAGGTAAATTATTTACCTCTCARAAGATTATCATTTGATGATTCAAGTAGAGAAATCAATATTAATAAAAGTTTAGATGACAACAGAAAACAAAGGAATTTGTGTAATTCAATAGAATTAGCACTATTTATAATTAGTAAACTATTTCATTGTTTAAGTGTTTGCACTTAGTGTTTGTGTATTTGTATTGGAATGAGCTATTTACTAATATTATACATGTGCTGTCAGCACTAACAGTTTTTACTTGTTTTTTTTTTTTTATAGCCAAACGTGGGCCAATTTATGATATACAATGGAGTCCAAGTTCCAAAGAATTTTGTGTTGTTTATGGTTGTATCCTTTTAAACATTTAAGCAAACCTGGTATAATCTTATTTGAGTGTACTTTTATTGTTTGCCATCCTTACATTGTTGCACAGATATGCCATCCAAGGCTACATTGTTTGATCTCAAATGTGATCCTATCTTTGACTTTGGTACAGGCCCAAGGAATCAAGTTAGTTACAACCCACAGGGCAATAATATCCTTTATATAAAATGATAAAATAGACAATTGCTAATAATATAATAAAAAGACAGACTGATAGGATGAGTACACAAAATTGAAGACATGATAAAATTAGTAGGAAGAAAGAGCCATTAGATTGTCACAAAATACCATTGATTGTARGAATTAATCCTTAACTATTCACACTTTTGTGTATATGTGGATTTGGTAACCTTCAAGGGTACATGGTGAGTATGTTGTACATCATCATAGCTAGAAATTATCATCTGATATGATATGCATGAACTGATGCCTTCTGTTTTAGGAAATTTGGAGCAGAAAGGACTTGAAAATGATCAGTAAACCCCAAGTTAGTACATACTGCTGTTGCCCAGTCTATAAAATCTGCTTTAATTCACTAATATACTTTATTGCACAAGCTAGAGCACAAATGCAAAATTKAATAACTTGAGATATACATAGTAAATCATGTAAAGGTATTTTGAACAAATGGCCAGAAAACCTGTATAMTATGAATGTTTCATATTTTTTAGGCACGGGACACAACTTATTTTGAATGGAGTCCTGATGGAGAACACATATTAACAGCAACAACTGCTCCAAGGTTGAGAGAAGACAATGGGTAAGTTCAAAAGGAAGTATCAATATAGGTGACAGGTGCTACAGTGGAGATTCAAATGARAGAATTGTTCATTCTTAAGAGTGACTAACTATTTTTCATCATTCTAGATTCAAGATTTGGCATTATTCTGGTAGCTGTCTCTTCAAGAAAGACATCTCTGTCTTGTATCAGGTAATCTTAAAGAAYGCTTGTCTGCATGATAATCAAATAAATATTTRTTTTCAAATACTTGACATYGRCAGGCAACATGGCAGCCTTTTCCAGAAGGGGTTTTCCCTGAGAAGCCTGTKTCATATAAAATTGTGTCTGGTTCATCAAGTACACAAGACCAGAAACGTAAGTGTYGTATTCACAATACGAAGGCATATTCAGTATYGATGCATTTGTTAATCTTGCCTATAAATTAGCCTCAGCAAAAGCTGCATATGTCCCACCACATGCAAGAGGAGCAGGGAAGAAAACAGAAATTATTCAGGTATTTTTTTGGGGGGAGGGCATAAGGGGAAGGGTGGGGGCTGTTCTTTCATTAGAATGTTATCAATTCACTGCTAAACACACCAGGAAATGTATGTTCATCATTGTTGTAWTATTAAAGATATGTTTATGATCACTCTTACAGCGTGACGATGAACTTCCACAAAACCTTCAAAAGGGTCAGGATGGGCTTTCAAAAGCTGCMTTAAAGAACAAGAGAAAAAGAGAATCCAAAGCCAGAGCTAAAGAGGAGCAAACTACAGCTCCTGAGCAGGTTAGGTTTCTCTTTGTGATAGGCATARCAACTATAAAGAAAGCTATGTTCTATGACATTTGTAGTTGCTTTTGAATATTTGTTTTTTCCCCCCTTCATTTAAAAGTATGAGAACAAAGGCACTTAAAAGGTCTTCAATGATAAAACTGTATTACAGGTATCTCCTATACCAGAAAGTTTACCATATTCACAAAGTAATCTTCCTGTTGATGACAAGAAACTAAGAAACCTAAAAAAGGTTTGTACATCATCCTTGAACAAGTAGTGCAAATGCAATTGAAGGCAATAATTGGGGTGACTATGTTTCATAGAAATTAAGACAGATTGAAGATCTTAAACAAGTAGTGCAAATGCAATTGAAGGCAATAATTTGGGTGACTATGTTTCATAGAAATTAAGACAGATTGAAGATCTTAAACAACAGCAAAAAGATGGCAAAAAACTAGAAGTTAATCAGGTAAAATGATCTTTTGATAGTTGTTAAGTCATCCTGGAAACAACGTATTTATATCACAATGTAATTGAGAATTTGTACTTTCTTTTCAGCTTGAGAAAATCAAATCAGAAGCAGCTCTTATAAAAGAGATTCAAGACTTAGAACTTGGCAGATGACGACATATGAAAATATGAAAATTATTTCTTGATTTATCATTCCTAGAATAACTCAAAATCATGTTTCTTTTTACATTGAATAAAATATCTATATTATCTATTTACAAATTGAGAATGTAGCTAGCATGGGTAAGATAAATGTCACATTGCAAAAATGTTTACTGTTTACTAGTAATTTTTTTCAATATTTTTAAGCAAGGCTCCAAATCCGAAGACTATTGTCTTGTTTCTCTTGTGATGTAGTTTCTTCCTCATCACTGCTGTCACTGTTCTCATTTCCWGGTAATGGGAACTGCCTTTGTCCAGAAGAACTTGCCAGTAATGGAAGTGTGGGATGAAAACTGAAAAAATGATGATGAAATAAATGATTTTAGTTTCTTCAACAAATGATTTTAGTTTCTTCAACCTTTGCACATTTTAAAGAGATAGATTTTCTCACCTTACACCATTCACACAGTCTCCATGGCCGATATATGTTATCAAAGGTTTAAGGACTGGTTCTGTTGATTCAGTATTATCTGATACACTGGCATTAGTGTCCCAGACTGATATAGTACCATCGTTACTTCCAGATACAACATATTGGCCACTCCTAGATATACCATACATATCCAGTTTAAATATTTTCTTTGTTCAATTGAAACTGTTTTTGTACTTATATATTTACTGCATTATCATAGTAATGCTACATAGTAATGATACCATTAGGTGGATGTTCACCTTACTGATAGACGAGTTAAGTTGTTCAATTACCTGTCCAAGTCAAAGTAGATTCTTTGATTTGTTGTTACAGTCCTCATAAGTCTATACAATACACTTCCTGGATTTCTAAGATCCCARCAGAGAATCTCATTGTCCTTCCAAAAACAGAAACAGTTTTATTACAAAGCAATGTATTCTTTGACAAAATGATGACAAGGAAAATAAACATTTTAAGCCTTCATCAATSAAGTGTGGTGTTTGTTACTCACCATTCTTCCACCACTATATAGCTTAGTAACATCRGGTGAAAACATGACATGTGTAACTCCACCAACCTGCCCTTGTAGCAGGCAGAGAAGTTCTCCATCACTCTCGCTGTATACACCAACTGAARCATSGAAAATTCATCARTTATCCCCATCATTTATTTGCTGTGCAGTCTTTGAGAAAATGCAGGGGGTGGTGGGTACTTTTGAGAACTTTTAGGAGATTTTGTTAATTTCAAACTGTTTCTGCCCACCCTTGAACTCTGGATTGGTTTGATTTATTTTTGTCTTGTGGCCCCTCAATGTGTCTAATAATGTCCCTAATATTAGGGACCAATGCTCGATACACTGTATAATATTGCTATGTTATAACATAAATGTACCTGACTTGGAGTATGAACCAAGAGCATAAAGATTTGTGTTTGGTGGACTCATTGCAATACAGGAAATTAAACCACTTTGACCAACCTTTTTTGCTAAAAGTGAGAATTTGAATTACATTAACATTGCCAAAGTATACATGACAATTTTTGCACAAAACCTGCTTTTATTCAAAACCCCTCACCAAAAGTTGGTCTTTCTTGACATTGTCGTCCAGGTCGATTGGTGTGAAACACACGAAGCATTTTGTTAAAACCACAATAAATATGGCTGCCATCTTGAGAGAAAGCTAAACTTGTAGCAGTTGCAAGCTCGTCCATGTGATTATATGCTCTGAAAGAACATCTTAACTCTCCTGTRAAGGCATCCCACATATGGATGGGATGATCTCTGCTTGTACTGATAAAACTATAAAATAATCACATTGACTCAAATGAATGAATGTGCTGAAAATGAATGAATTTGGAAAGAAAATTGCAAACTATATTTATTAAAACAACGATTACAGCTAAGAGAAAACTTGCATTCCAACATGCTGCATTGTTCCCTCATTTGAGCATTAAAATCCAATTTGACATGTTTGATGTCTGAAATTGAGGGTACAGCTYTRTGCACWT